GACTCGTGTCTTACTGCCTGCGCGATCTAACAACAAATGTTGGAGAACTACAAAGAAAAAAGCTTTGTTAGAATTAGTGGTGTAGGGGGAGGGTTACCTTCCAATAAAATTAAATCCCTGTCTTTTAAATAGGCATGTGATGTGTGTAGAAAAAATCAGGCTTGATCATACGGATATTTTGACATTTTACATCCCACCTGCAGATATATACCTACCTTACTTCTGATCTCACTCTAGCTTTCTCATGGCAACCATTTGCATTTAAGAATATAGTTATGCCTTTATCATCTTTAACTTTCTTCTCAGATGACACAGCTAAGTCCACATTTCCTCATGTTCTGTGACCTATTTATTATCATAGCCATTTAAGTAACAGGTGCCTTACAAGGAAACAATAGAAATTAAACATTGCATGGAGATAAACGAAATATATAAAGAGGGTAGAAAGACCAACACACCTAATAAATAGACTTTTGTTTGTGGGCTCTTTCTTTTTTTTAAATTAAAACTTCATTAAATTAAATGGATAAATTTGAACACCGTAAAGTGGCTGTGAAATGAAGATAGGAGTATCAGTAGAACAGTAGAGCATTATTATCTACAATACAGTGTAATATAGCGTGATTATCTATAAGGAAAGTGAATTATAGTATGATAAAAGGTCTAGAAAGACTTATGAAAATATTCTCAAAGAGGCTGGTTTTCTAATAGATTGTGTGGTAACAACTGCCCAGAATATTTGCAATATCTGCCAATTTAAGAAGGCTGAATTGAGGAAGGTCACCTTAAATTTTATAACTGTGTTACATTGGAATCTCTGGAAAAGGGAAAAAAAAATAAAACTGGTGGAGATGAAATATAACTTGGAGGCCTTTAAAATATAGCTATGAACGATTGTTTCAGTAACTCTGTTGAACAAAACCAAAACCACTGTTTTTGAAGTTTGGCATTTTTCTACTGCATGGGCTTGGTAGGTAGCTTAACTCAGCCTACTTCATCATGAAGTTACAAGCCACACCTTTGCCATAATAATGAGAATATCATGGCATTGTATAAATCAATTTACAAAGCACAATATGGGTGAAAAAAGCATAGGCAAAATGAAAGTAAGGTAGGCTTCCCAACATGAAATCCTGGTGTTGGCTGGGTCATTATGTCATGTTATTTGGCACAAATGCAGCATTCGTATATTTATTTATTTATTCATACAATATTTTGTAGACTACTTACTTCCCACGATTCAAAGTGGATTATATGAGGAGCAAGAAAAGCCTAAAATGCAAATATCCACCTCCCCACATGAACTCACTCAAAGTAATCCTGTCACATTGGTCTCCAAATACCCAGTGGAAGAATAAGGTATAAATCCTTTTGAAAGGGTAGGATGTTAGGTATGTTCTGTACCTCTGGAAGGAAGGTGTTCTGGTTAATAGAGGCAGCCACAAAGAAGTCAGGTCAGTAGGACTCACCCTCTTCGTTTCATGTAGGGTGGAAATGCTCAGCATTCCAAGGAATACTCAAGGTTTGACATGGGAGAGGTGGTTTTGTAAATACAAAGTAATCTGGCACTACCCACAATGAATAAATGGTTGCTGAAGACAGTGGAACTTGCAGAGATGGCCAGACTGACTTCTTTGATTAGAGAGAAGACAACATCCACATTGACTGCTGACTAGAAACTTTTTATGGATTTTCTGGATGAAGCAGAAGATGTATGATTTATGGCTTTGCTGACTAGAAAAAGAAGACAATAGAAAAAAAGAGAGCTTTTCTTTTTGGGGATCATAGTGTAGAAGGTAATTTGAAAATTGCAGATATTTGCTGGGGGAAAAAATTGGAAGCTACTTCTTTCTATATTTTTCATTTTTTTTTGCATTTTTGTCATTTTTTTCCTTCCTTTGCTTTGCTTCTTAATTAGCTCTTGTTAGTTTTTAATCTTCTTTTTAATTTTTTTAAATAAAATTATGCAAAAGAGAGAGAAATAATTCTTCGTAGGGGATAATCAGCGCTTTGAATTGAACCTGGAAGCAAATGGGTAACCAATGCAATATGAAGTGCTACATGGCTTGGCTCTTTCTCCTCATGCTATTTAACACCATGAAATTGCTGGGGGGAGTAATCTGTCAATTTGGTGTGATCAGTGTGATGGAGACATACATCACTATCCCACACCAGGTCAGAGTGCCATTGACATTTCACAACTAGCATTCTCTTAGGAGAGATACCATCAGGAACTCCATTAGAAATATCTTCTAATTAATTGTTGACAGTAATTAAAACCGTTTTCCCATGCTGCAATTTGTTTCTTAAAATGAAATTTTGGACCAATGTGTCCCAGAGGAGCTACTGAGGGATAGAATTTATTTTTTTCCAGTTTCAACCCTGATGAGCTCTTTCATCAGACTGAACAAACGACTATTCCTCTCTGCACACAAAGTGACCTGAACCACCTCACCAGGAAGGAGTGGAGCGGAGATGGTGAACCTTGTGGACTTGGTGTGTCAAAAATTCAGAAAAAGCCTAATTTGACTTTGCTGGCATGTCATACCCCTCAGACAAAACAGAAATAATTCTCTCTCCCGGACCTCTTGGGCCTTGACTTCAGCCCTAGCACCTCTCAAAAAAGCTGCCTTGTGCTGTCCCCCAAGGCATGTAGCCTTGGGGAATGGTGTGACTGTCCCATGGCCCAGCGCTCCCCAGAATTTGCCATGTTACTTCAGGCAGTATTGTTTTTCTGTCCACAGGGTCCTGCGACCTACCTGAGGCTGTTCTGGGTTCCACAAGGCCTTTGTTCTTGAAGCAACTTTGAAAAATGTTCTTCTATGGCCCCTGGACTGTGCAAAAGCACAGCCTGTTCTTGCACGATTTTTTTTGAGCCTCTGGATGCCGTGTGAAATTTCTATTCTCTTGCAGGAGCTCTAATTTGCACGAGAACAGGTTGTGTTTTTGAGAATAGTTGTTGGGTGTTGGTGAATAGAATATAAAATCATAAGGCTGGAAGGCACCTTGAAAGTCTTCTAGTCCGGCCCCCTGTCCAAGGCAAGAGACCTTGTAACACCCTGGTTAAAGGATTATCTAGTCTACTTTTGAAAATATCCAGTGATGGAGCACCCACAACTCCAAGAGGCAAGTTATTCCATTGATTAATCAGTCTTACTGTCAGGAAATTCCACCTTAGTTCTAGATTGGATCTCTCTTTAACAAGCTTCCACCCATTGCTTCTTCTCCTACTTGCTGGTGCTTTAGACAATAAGTCAATCCCCTCTTCTCTGATTGCTTAAATGTGAATGCTGACATGTCACCCAAAACATTGTGGCATGTCATCTTTGACACATGTGTCATAGGTTCACCATCACTGCTTCCAATCCGCACCCTCACAGATCATTCAGAAGGGTATTATGGTCAATATTTACGAGAGGAGTACCATACTACAAAGACATACAACAGCACCAGCAATTGCAGCAGATTGCAAATGAATTGATCCTCTTCGTTTTCATAAAGTGCTGCTATGAAGATGGCAATGTTCATGGGGCTCAGGCTGTAGAGCCATTAGGGATGAAATGGAAAAAAAATTATATCCATCTGTAGCTCCTCTGGTTGAAAGCTTCACTTCAGTAAAAAAAAATAAAATGGAAGCATGGAAAATGTTCTCAGTATTTCAAACAAAGGATTAGGGGAGAACTTTCACATTGACTGTGAAGTCAACATTGCTTTCAATGCTTGGGTCCATTCTAGCTTCTTGTAAGCTTTGGATAGCGGAATCCTTGTCTAGCCTCCTTCCTTTGGGTAAAGAAGACAGATTTTTGCGTCTTGAAAATAAATGTTGAAACAATCCAGAATAAGCTTTCTCCTCATTTTTGCCTGTAGAAAAATACGGTCATTTCTAGGATAGTGTGGCAAGAGCAGTGAAACTTGCATTGTAGTTTTAAGCATAGATTAATCAAGCAAGAAAACTGCTTTGTCTGTTCTAAATGATCACATTCAACATCTGTCTCAAAGATAATGAAAACGGCTTGAAATTCTTTGCTAACTCAACAAACTGGAGAGATGAAAACAATATTTTATGTTCCCAGTTAAAAATGTTGATGTTTGTTTTTTCCATTCTGAATATTTCTAAAGTTGCTCTGAGTTGAAAACTAAATATATAAAAATAATAATTAGAAAACTTTGGTTTTTTTCTATTTTAGGGAAAGGGAACTCCTGGACCACCTGTGAGTACATTTGTTGTTGTTGTGCTTTGAAACAGTCTGCACACACCCATTGACTGTCTCAACAAGCCCCCACAGTTTTCTTGGCAACAGTTTAAGAAGTGGCTTGCCATTACTTCCTTGTTAGGGTTGAGAAAAAGTGACAGGGTCAAAATCACCCAGTTGGTTTCATCCTTAAAGCAGGACTAAAATCATTTTCTTTCAGTTTCTAGTCTGGTCCCTTTAACCATTCCTGCATATCCAAACCAACCCTCAAACAGAATGTAATCAGCCATACACAATTAATTGCATAGCCAAACCAAAAAAATAAATAAATTACATTTTTAAAGGAGGGTCATATTTGTTTGTGTTATTTCTACCTTTGGATTGTCTGTCACAGGCTGGTATGTTTCATCCTCAGTTTATCCCACCAATGATCACGCCGGCTAGAAATGCTGCTTTGACTCAAATAGGGGCCTATTAAACTCTTCTGTTTAAGAAAAAAAAAATCATTCCTTGGACTGGATTAGTTTTCAAAGCAGGGGATGGTTAGCCTTTGGATACCCCCAGCACTGTTTTTATGGTCCAAGCTTTTTGCATGTTTGGGAAGGGTACTTTTAAAGAGATGATGCAGGGCCTTAACTCTTGCTAAAGATTAAGACACCAATTTCACTCTTTTAAAAAAGCAATACTCCCAAATGTTGGATAAGATTCCCCCCCCCTTATTTTGGGGCAATTGGAGGGCAAAATAGGTATCTTGAACTAAGACGTCAGATATTTTGTCTCTTTAAACCCTTTAAACCTTTACTATGTGCACCCATCTTTTGCTGCTCTTGAGAGATTAAAAAAATAGTAATCATAATATAGTACAGGCCTTGGTTACAAGAAAGTTGCCAATCCCTGTTATGAGAAGTTAATTAGTTTCTATCTTTTTTTTTTCCAATGCAGGGTCCTCCTGGTATAGGAGGACTTCCTGGAGAAGTGGGAAGAGTTGGGCCACCTGTGAGTACTTTGTTCCATAATCATTGATTAATATTTGCCTGCTTGTTAAAGCTTGTACCATGCTTTTTGGAAAGACATCCCTGAGGAATGACTTGACACATTGATTACACTTGAACACAATAAAATGAACCTGCCCTTTAGGTCTTATCTTTGAGGGATTGTTCCAGCTGTAAATATGTATTAGCCATCCCAAACTTGATAATTTTCAGATGTTTAGTTGTAGCCAGAATGTCCAACCAGCACAAAGGGCAACAGATTGTGGAAATCTGCTGTTGATATAGTTCTCTGCAATAGGATGTCACCAATATTACTATGTCTAAGAGAAGATTCATACTTTACCTTTAGTCCATTGCCTATTGTCCTCTGTGGAATAAATAGACCATTGGTTTAAGCCTACACAGCTCTTATTATGTTTGTTATATTCTACTTAATTGCATAAGAAGCTCTTCTTAATTCCTATAAGTAGCATTTATTGGAACTCAATTGAATACAGACTAGATTAGATAGATTAACATTCTCTCTTGTGGTGAAGTCTCATCTGGGAATATTACTTTACAATTACTGTACAACTAGTCATTCCTATGACTGCTTATATGGATAATAAAGGTTTTACAGCTCATTCCAACTGGTGCAGATTAAAAAGCGAATCCAATTAAGTCCAGCTTTTCCTCCCAAATAACTGCACGTGCAAATGATGTGGGATATTTATTTATTGGGGATTGTAATAAATGAAGTCTTTCAAAACTTCATAAATTAATCTGCACATTCTGAAACACCCATTTCTTTGGAATTATTGGTTTTCCTATCTTTATCTATGCACTTCAATAATTAAAGGTGTATATTTAAGGGATTTCACATAAAAATAAGACAGCTTCATATATATCAGTTGAGAGATAAAAGTAACAAAAGGGATGAATGGTTTGAATCTCTTTTGCTCTTGTCATTTACAATTCTTTTCTTATTCTGTGCCATCAGAATTTTGTTCTGTCCTAGAACATTTTTGGTGGTTAATGTAACCCATGTAGAGATTATTTGATTTTCACTATCCTTTCTTCTAAGGGACTTGGATACACAGCTTATTTTTATGTCGTTGTGACACTGTTTAGGGTGATCCTGGAAAGAGAGGTCCTGCAGGAGTGCCGGGACCGCCAGGGCTGAGGGTAAGTTTGCAGTAGTAATACTGAAAATAAGAAGTGTTTCAAAGTAAGTCCTCCTTCCCCAATCCATTTAAAGCAATTTGTATGATATTATAGGGTAAAGGAATGATAGAACCTGGGGGCAGAGTTAGAAGAGGGATGAGCCTAGAATTTCTACATAGCCACAAGTGAACTAAGTCCAGCCTCCCCTTCAATTCTGTTACCCTCATCTAGCACCAAAATCATGCTGCCCATTAGTTGAGGATACTCCTGTGCATAGGCATAAGCAGCCATAAATCAGTTTAATTGGACGTTCATGTGTGGACCTTGTCTTTTGTGCCTGACATATATTCTCAAAGAGGAAATTTCAAATATTTTAGGCTGCGGAACCTCTTAGTAAAATTACAACTCCAGGAACTCTTGATCAAGAGGCCAAACATTGAGTTGTCATGACCACGAAGAGCCTTGGAAAGCGGGTGACTTTTGAATGGCAGTTAACAAGCCCCAGTCTTTCTTCTGTTCTTTATTTGCTATAGACATCCTGGCTGTGCTCTCCCCCCCCCCCTCTGTTAGACTCTCATGGAATTCCATTTAATTTTTGTGGGATTTCCATCGCCCCACAGATGGAGAAATCCTACTCTAGTCAGCCTGAGGGAAGTACCAAGCTTTGCATAGCATAGCATGTCAAGTGGACCCTTTGCGCCCTATTTTAGATACATGTTACCGTGGCTTATTTTCAAAGGGTGTCAGTTGATCTAATTCAGGACTAATTCGTCTCTTCTGAGTAAAAGGGCAAATATATGAAGGCTGCCCATGTTCATAGATGATCCCATTTATGTCATATGAAGACAAACAGCTAGAAACTTGCTTCTTCTACGTGGCAGAAGCCCAGTATGAATGGAGAATGCAATCCTGAACTGAAAAAATTCCAAAGGCACAATCCAATCATATAGGGAATGAAGTCCTACATTTTTCAATATTGGTTCTGTCTGTGAATTTAAATAGGTCTTCTGCTGATGGTGGAAGATAACTCTGGACCTTATAAAAAGCTCCTTTACTGCATTTGTGGATCTGCACCATCAGCCTTATTAATTCAAATTCAACTCAATGCTTGACAATGTTCATGGCTATCCTAATTTTAAACTTTGCTAATCTACTTCAGGGAACAGTTAGCCACCATGGTGGAGATCCACTGGTAAGATATTTATCTTCCTTTTTATGGATGATTGCCACCCTCCTGGGTTTCTGGAAAGCCCTTAAGGCCTGGCTCTATTCCCAGGTCTGGGGTTAATGTGGTTGTAATTTATATGGGTGGGGGCTGTCATATTTTTATACTGGAGGCTGTCATATTTTTATACTGTTTGTACCATTGGGCATCTAGTTGTTTTGTGCAGAAAGCATGTTTATGTGGGTCTTAATTGTTTTACTGGAGGCATGGGAATTGTCTCTATGTGACTTTTGTAAACTGCCCAGAGTGGACAGCCATACTAATTAAATTATATTAAATTAGTAAACAGCTTTTCTCTCACCAGACGTCTCCTTATTAATGTAATTCATTGCTTCATTTTTTTTAGTGTCCAAATACTTGCACACCTGGCCATCCAGGATTTGCTGGAATGACGGGCATGAAGGTAGGAGAAGGGATGGGAGTGATGCATTCTGGGTATGACTGGATATTGGTTGGATGCTGATAAGTTTCAAGAGATGTTACAGCAGTACCATAACAATCTGGAATTAAGGTTAAACTTCACTGGAACATGAAAGTAACATTGATTATATGAAAACCATTTAACACTTTAATAAATGCTAGTTTAGGTGATAGTACTATGAATAAACTGCTGCATGAAGATCACATAGACTGACTACACATGCAGCATGACAAAGTAGCAATCATGCTGCAATGAATATCTGCAAGAAATACCATTTGTCTGCAAGCAAGAACTGGTGGGATCATAAAATAGATAAACTAATAGAAAATGAAAAAAGTGCTTCAAACAAACACCTACCATATAACATAGACTTAACAAATGTCAATAAGAAAGACAAGAAAAAAATTTGGACAGTGGAAGTTGCAGTACCTGGAGACAGCAAAATTGAAGAGAAAAAACTGGAGAAAATCACAAAATACAAAGGCCTGCAAATAGAAATAGAATGACTGTGGCAAAAGAAAGCAAAGATAGTATCAATAATAATAGGCAACTTGGATACAATGCCAAAACAACTGGAGCCATACTTGAACACTATTGGCATTGACAAAATCACCACTAGTCAATTGCAAAGGCAGCTTTTACTTGGAACAGCTTACATCCTGCAACAATACCTTTAACACCACCAAACAACATCTGCCTATCTTGGGTTCTTGGGAAGGACTCAAAAGGTGGATAAAAAATGCCAAATCCATTCTAAACATTTGGCTGATTGTATGACCAACCATAATAACAACAATGGATGGTCCCATTAACTGCATCCAGTTTTGGTCACCACAACGTAAAAAAGATGTTAAGACTCTTGAAAGAGTATAGAGAAGGGCAACAAAGATGATTAGGGGACTGAAGGCTAAAACATATAAGGAACAGTTGCTAGAATTGGGTATGTCTAGTTTAATGAAAAAAAGGACTAGGGGTGACATGATAGCAATGTTCCAATATCTCAGGTGTTGCCACAAAGAAGAGGGGGGATCAATCTATTCTCCAAAGCACCAGAAGGCAAGACAAGAAACAATGGGTGGAAACTGAACAAAGAGAGAAGCAACCTAGAACTAAAAAGAAAATTCCTGACAGTTAGCAGAATTAATCAGTGGAACAACTTGTCTCCAGAAGTTGTGGATGCTGGAAGTTTTTAAGAAGAGGCTGGACAGCCATTTGTCTGAAATGGTATAGAGTTTCCTGCCTGAGCAGAAGGATAGACTAGAAGACCTCCAAAGTCCCTTTCAATTCTATTATTCTTTTCTGTTAACTCTTGGGGATTGATACTGACCATTTTGGAGAACTCTGATTTATATGTTTTAATTCCAACTTCTCCAACCTGATATCCTCCAACTATATTAGGTTACACTACACATCTGATCTCAGGTTAATGGATTCTAAGAGTTGAGGTCCAAGACATCTGGAGGGCATCAGATTGGGAAAATAACTGATTTCACATAGATAAAATATCCCAACCATTGTTTTTAATAGGCAATGTTTCTGGTGGCATATTTAGCATCAGCGAAAATATATTTGCCTTATATTTTAGGGTCACAAAGGAGCAAAAGGTGAGAGTGGTGAACCAGGAAAGCAAGGCTTTAAGGTAAGAATGTTACTGCATGCAAATCAACTGGAACAGTGATGGATTATGGAGGAAGAATGTTTGGTGTGTATTTAAGAAAGGAATAGTAATAATCTTCTTAGAATTAATCTTAGCATTTCTCCATTATTTTCATAGCACTTAGAACAGCTAATGATAGGCCTGTGACTCACGAAAATGCTAAAAATAATGTGCTTTGTTTTGTTTTGCTTTTTATGACATGCGAACAAATCTCGTGATTTGTAAACTATAGTTTATGTTTTAGCATATAGTTTGTTCAGTCAACCCTGGCTGAAAGCAGTAATGATTTAGTGTGATATTGTATACCCTCAGCTTTTCATCTCCTTTATTGCCTGGTTACAGTCTTTCTCAAATAAGTCAGCCCTATTTAATGTGTGCCGCCTCCACGCTTACATAGATGGGAAATACATAAATAACACAATTCATAATATTGAGGGAAACAGAATAAATTATATATGCTAATTTTTAGAATGTGTTATTTACTAACTTGTGCCATGTATATTTTTTAGGGAGAAGAAGGCGAACAAGGACGAATAGGTGACATTGGAGATCTGGGGCCTCCAGTAAATATTTCCTTTTATTTAAGTTTTTAGTTATGTCTCATCATATTGAGATGTAAGGAACTAAATGAAGCCAATAGCCATCTACCCAGTGGTGGGATTCAAATACCTGAACAACCGGTTCTCTTATTGGATGCAGGCCTGGGCTTCTAAGGCCTAGAACGGACTTCCAGAAGTGGCATCCATGCAATTCCGGTGGGCCATTTTAGGCCTGGGAGGCCTCCTCCAGGCCTCTGAGGCCTAGACTGAACTTCCAGAAGCATTTAGCTGGTTCTCCGAAGTCAGTAAATTTTAGCTATCAGTTCTGCCTAGCCGGTGTGAACCGGCTGAATCCCACCACTGCATCTACCTCTTATCACTATAAGTTCCTGATCCAACTATGTTGTCATGACTATTATCATGATCAAACTAATGTGAGTCATTTTTCTCCTGGGTTCAGTACTAATTGAAACCAGAATTACCTGGATTTTTCTTCTGCACATTCCGTGTTGAAACCAATTGCTTAATTTATTATCTGTCTTGTACCAGATCGAAAAGATAACAATAAATGGGAAGGCCATTCACAATAGGAATAAGGAAACTGACAGCTGGATGATATGAGAAGTAGGATGCCTGAACCCCAGTCTTCTTCCTATACAGGTAGTCCTCAACTTACGACCTCAACTGAGCCCAAAATTTCCATCGCTAAGCAGGACAGAGGTTAAGTGAGTTTTACCCAGTGGTGGGATTCAAATATGTGAACAACCGGTTCTCTGGGTGGATGTCGCTTCCAGAAGTCCATTCTGGTCCTGAGCAACAAAAAATTAGCTATTGTTTCTGCCGAACTGGCTGAATCCCACCATTGGTTTTACCCCATTTTACGATCTTTCTTGCCACAGTTGTTAAGTGAGGCACTGCAGTTGTTAAGTTGGTAATAGGATTGTTAAGTGAAGCTGGCTTCCCCACTGATTTTGCTTGTCAGAAGATTGCAAAAGGGGATCGTGTGACCTCCAGGAACCTGCAACCGTCATAAATATATGCCAGTTGCCAAGCATCTGAATTTTGATCATGTGACTACGAGGATGTTGCAATGGTCATAAGTGTGAAAAATGGCCATAAATCACTTTTGATAGTGCCATCGTAACTTTGAATGGTGACTAAACGGATGGTTGTAAGTTGAGGACTACCTGCAGTGCCAAATAATAATAATAATAATAATAATAATAATAATAATAATAATAATAATAATAATAATAATAATAATAATAATAATAATAATAATAATAATAATAAAGTTGGAAGGGACCTTGTTCCACTGGTTAATTGTTCTAACTGTCAGGAAGTTTCTCCTTAGTTCTAGATTGCTTCTCTCTTTGGTTAGTTTCCATCCATTGCTCCTTGTCCTGCCTTCAGGCCCTTTGGAAAATAGCTTGACTCCCTCTTCTTTGTGGCAGCCCCTGAGATATTGGAACACTGCTGTCATGTCCCCCCTCGTCCTTCTCTTCATTAAACTAGACATACCCAAAATATGTGTGTTGATGGCTGCTTCTTTAGACTTAACTGCAAGCACTTTCACACACCACACCAATCAAAAGCAGCTCACACAATTGATAAATAATAAATTATATGGTGCATCTAATAATAATATATGATGTAAAATTAAAATAACATGTCATTAATTGCTTCTCCATCTAAGTATAACCAACTTTTCATAATCTTCCAAATAGTAGCAAAAAGGAAGATGATTTTATTTCTGGGAGCTGATTTCACAAAAAATGACTCGCAGTTCATTATTTTAGAAGTACTGAGTTCATACAGATGAAGACAGAAAAACATGTACAATGTTTAAGACTTTGCTGTTGTTCAGTCGCTAAGTCATGTCCAATTCTTTGCGATCCCATGGACCATAGCAGACCAGGCCTCCCTGTCCCTCACTTTCTCCTGGAGTCTGCCCAAATTCATCTTTATTGCATCAATAACACTATCTAACCACTATCCTCTGTCGCCTCCTTCTCCTTTTGCCTTCTATCTTTCCCAACATCAGGGGTTTTTTTTCATTTTCTCTTTTCATTAGGTGGCTAAAGCATTTGAGCTTTAGCTTCAGTATCTATCCTTCCAAATAACAGTCAGGGTTAACTTCCTTAGGACTTTGGAATTTTTGTAGAAAAAATAATCAGTAGAAAATCTTTAAAGTAAGATACAATTTTTGTCACAAGAATGGACACAGAAGAAAAGGTTTAAGAACTGTTTTATCCAAGGAAAATGAGCATATACAGTATGTGATCAATCAGGTACATGAGCTTCAGGTTTACATGAATCTTTTGCCTTTCAGGGACCTCAAGGGTTAAGAGGTTTCATTGGTATTATGGGCTCTAAAGGTGATAAAGTAAGTAACATCAGCTATACATTTGTGATTTCAAATTCTTTGGCAATATTGATTAATTGAGCGATCTCTTGGTTTTACAGACGAATTGATATGTGGGAACATTTATAAGGACATGGTGAATATTGCTTCATGTGTACATGGTGAATCTTGCATTTCTGCTTCTTCACCTTGCCTTGATTGGACATCAGGGAGTGCAAACCTCAATCTGATCCTCAGAGGACAAGCATGATCATTAGTTCTCAAAGAATGGCCTATCCTGGTGCTTAATATCTATGGTCCTATGTATATGTATATGGATGAAACTAAAACAGTCACTAGAATATTTAGTTACTAAAATGTGATAAAAACTTTTAACATTAGTATTAGAACTATTGTTTTTTTTTTTAAACTTATGCTTGTTTTACTACTAGCACATATGTAGATACCCTTGTATAAAAACCTATAAATCTCAATATATATTCCCATTTATCAGAAGGATAAAGGTTCTTCAATTCTACATTTTTATGGTTTGCAGTTTAAGAATGAAACTAAAACTGTCATTGGAATATTTAGTTACTAAAAGTGAATAAGAACTTTTAATATTTATGTTAGAACTGTTTTTTTTTTTTAAAAAAATTATGCTCATTTTCCCACTAGGGCATAATGCATAATGATCTATAAATCTGAAGATACATTCCCATTTATCCAAAAGATAAAGGTTCTCCAATTCTACATTTTTATGTTTTGCGGTCTAGATATGTAACTGCTACAGATGTGCAGTGCTCTAAGCAACCTCCCTTTAGATCAGGGGTGTTAAACCTTGGCAACTTTAAGACTTGTGGACTTCAAATACCAGAATTGTCCACCCAGCATGCTTGGCTGGGGAATTCTGGGAGTTGAAGTCCACAAGTCTTAAAGTTGCCAAGGTTGGACACTCCTGCTTTAGATGATGGGAGTTTAAAATATATGTAACTCATATATTTTTGCTGTGGGTATTTTGTTTTCTTAAAATTATTCATATAATTCAGTGTTGTATTGATTATCAATATTATCTCAATATTTCATCAAGTAAGAATAACACACAAAAGCAGCACATTCGCTATTCAAACTCTATTTATGATTGGCCATGCTGTCCTATTAGATTCAATGTTTATAGGCTTTCTCTAAGATGCAATTTCTTGATTATGTTGGCTTTCTCTTTTGCTTGTAATTGATTAAAAAATTCTGAAGTAGTTCTACGGCAAAGAGTATGTTCTACTTCATCACTTAGTTTAAGACTTGTTTTATCATTTCCAGAACAAACCCTGTTTGTAACTGCCAAAATTTGGTGGTAAACCAGTGATCTTTAACTATACAATTTAATATCCCTTCGTTCAATGTGTAAATATGTGAACTAGATATACTAACCTTCCACAAATAAAAGTACTTTCAGCTGTGAATGAGGTATGTTCTACCAGAAGGAGTAGATCCCCGTTTGGGGAGTGCTTCTGGTTCAGCCTCATTCTCTAGTTTCTCAGACTGGGAAAACAGCAAGGAACACCTTTTTATCAACTTCAGCTAATGTACTAACTATGGCTTATCTCAGAGGACAGCCTTGACCTGATTACTGCAATGCGCTCTACATACGGCTGCTTTTGTATCTAATTTGGAAATTGCATTTAGTGCAGAGTTCATCAGCCAGGACAGCCTTTAGAATGACTAAAAACACACACATACACAACTCCCCCTCCCCAAAAATCTAGATTACTGCTGTGTAGGAAACATTACACACATTCCCAATACTTGTCTTGATGATATACAGAAGTGCTGTTTATGATGTTTCAAACGTGACAATGACTAATGTGAAAGACAGAGTGAGATTATTCTTAAACTGAAACTTATCAAGGAAGATTTACCTAGAGGCACTATTGGCTTCTCTGACAACAATCTAGGTTTTCTCTGTAGTTGGATCACATTCCCTGTTGAATTGAGGAAGGAGACTTTCTCCTTAGTATTCAGACATTTTTTTTACCTAATCAGGCCTTTAATTGTTGGCTTGTATTTTTAAAATTTTAAACATTTAAAAGTTTTCTTAATCATTTTAATACTTTTACTTCATTCTAACTATACCTTTTTAAAGGGAGACAACTCACCATGGTTTATTCCGGGTTGTACTGGCGATGTCTGAAATTCAAGAGGCCCAGAATTATCCAGATTTTTATGGCTCTTTTTTATAGATATGTAACCTACCTTGGTAGAGCAGGATTGTTGACAGAATAATAGCAAAATTTTCTGTCGTGAATCATGATAAGGATACCTTGTGATGTTTTAGCAGTTTATCAAGAGAACAAAATTGGGATGGGTATTGTAAACAATTTTCATTTATTTACTCTCTTTTACACCATTCATTCCCAATAGCTATGGGTAGGTAATAGTGAACAATTTCAAAACAAAACAGAAATTGAATCCAAATCCAAATATAATATATTTGTCTTGACAAATATAAAACTTGAGTTTGTCCTTATTGGAATTGCTAAGTAAATGGATTTTTTTTGAGATCTTGAATCATAATAATCCTTTTTCTTGGTCTTTACAATATAGGGTGCTCGTGGTTTTGACGGAGAGCCTGGTCCTCAAGGTCTTCCTGGGGCAGCTGTGAGTTAATCTGTCTAATTCTAAAGTCTTTTAGCCTGCTGATAGCCTCAGGGTAGAATTAAACTGATTGCCTTCACTCTCACATTAACAAAAAACCGTAATCTCAATTTTCATTCAAAACAAACAACCAAGCACTAATTTTCAAGACACCACAGTAAGTGCCCTAACACAAGGGTCCTCAACCTCCAGTCTGCACACAGAAGATTCCTCACATGAGAAGCTACAATTGAAGTCAATGTGCATTTCCTGTAATTGTTAATCATGCTGGTGAGTTGATACGGTTATTTCAAGGAATTGCTCAGAGACTGCTAATCACTATCTGCATTCCTTTCTAGGGTGATCGGGGACCAAGAGGTTCACTGGGAGAAACAGGCCCTGAAGGAGAGAAGGTAAGTTTTTAATAGTCTTATAATAATTGAGAAAAATAAGAATAGCTCCAGTTGCCAGCTAAAACTAGGGATGTTTGTTGGAATGCAAGTCCAAATATGTCCCCTGGGGTTTGTGCAGATTTTATTTCATATAATGACACAGATTCCACATATCTAAGTGTAAGCAACTTTATTGCCTTCAACGTGACTTACTCTGTGATGGAATTGGGCCAGTGCATAATGAAAAATTGCACGAAAAAAGAACTTAGAAAGCAAAAATAGATGGGAGGTAATGCTGATATCCAATCTTAAGAGTATCTGAAATGTGTCATTTCTTTTGCTTTATTCATCTCTACTTATATACATGTGATACAGTATTTTCAACATGCTTTTGTTTTTTTAAAAAAAATATCTTTTATTTTTAGGGTCCACAAGGCATTAGAGGAATTACTGGACTTCCTGGGCCCAAAGGAGAAAGTGTATGTATGCCATGATTCTTAGGTATAATGAAATTTATTATTTATATTTCCAACAAATTTAAATTGCCTTACAAGACCAGGTAAAACTGTGTGTGATTTAAGTATATGTGTGTGACTTACATGATACCAGTGTATAAAATACAGTGCTATTTCTTCTTCAAGGGCTTACCTGGAGTAAATGGCCGTGAAGGTATACCTGCCATGCCAGGAGCAAAGGTACTTAAAATAAAATTAATATATCTGTTCTAATTTAATACAGCCAAGTGGGGACCAGGGAAATATTATGGAGAAGTAGAGCAGTTAGATGAATTAGTATGAATAGGTTTCTGAGCTATTAGTAAAACTGAAAGGCTGTAACAATGGCTGGTGCCTTCAGAACCTGAGAGTCTACAGGCCAGTGACAACAGTTGCATTCTACTTTTTATTAGTTCCTCTTTCTTTTCTCAGGCCAGCCTCTCCTACCTGAAGTCCCTTTATCAGCCATAAGAATTAAATAGTTCATTTACCTGTATTCAGAGCGCTGTTTGGTGTACTTCTTAAGGGACCAGGCTAGAAATAAGGAGACTGTGAATGTTAGGCACAGGCACAAAGCCAGTTAGGTAAGCTTGGGCCAGTCACTCTCTTTCAACCCTAGGAAGTAGGCAATGATAAGCTGAGTGTCACCAACTAAAGACAGAATGGTGAGGACTCTGGTTCACAAACTCCACACCAAACAACTTCTTCTTCAAAATATATGAGGAGCATTCTCAATGGCATTTCTACTTCCTATGTTTACAGAGATGAAATAAGGAATGCAACAATTTCTGATGGCAAATATGATTTCATCACCTAATGCTTATTAAGCATCAGAACCTGCTTTCTTTTTTCATATTTAAACTTGCTATGTTTAGGCAAAAAAAGAAATGGAAATCAAAAGAAATTAGTGAGGGTTTTTTAAAAATTTGGTAACCAGTTTTCACATTAGGTTTTTTTTTTTAAAGCATTCTGTATTTGATTGATCTATCTTATTCTGTTATCTGTCTGATTGTTGCTTGTCTGCCTGTCATGTACACTGCTGTATTGCACACTGACTCCTAGGAAAATAATGAAGCATGAACTAAAATGTTCATGGTAAACCAACAATTAATGTATATAACATGGAAACATCCATAGTAAAAGTCATTAATTTCAACAATTCATAAATTAATCAGAACGTCCTATCATCATCAAGTAGAATACATCATCCAATTAACTGCTGAAAGGTCTCCAGAACAGCTCCATTTTCTGGTTAGTCTCCTTGAACAGTCAAAGAAGAAGATAGGATATCAATCAAATACATGCATACCAGAATATGTGCTGATGGTGACAAATTTAGATGGCTTTCAGAGAAGATTTGCCAATTCATGGAAGACAGAACTACAGATGCCCACCAGCCATTGTAGTTAATTGGAACTACTCTGGGCAGAAGTGGATATATTTCCAAACAAGAAATGATTCTGTGTAATAAATGCAAGGAAAACTCTTTATCTGTATGTGACCCAGTTGCTCAAAGCCAGACTGAGTGAAGACAAATGTTGAAACTGGTGTCACTTTGGTGTGACTAATGGGATCTTCATGTACACAACACAACAACTCAGAGAAGATCAGTATCACTTGAGTCCGACATATATAAATGGTGTTTCCAGCACAAGTTCACCTCTCTCCATTTATATCTTTTTAATTAATCCCCTGCAAGCATTTACTTCCTTAGCTTGCTCAGTCAAAGTAGCTCTCCCTTTCTTAAGGTGGGTACAAAGGGCTTGCTCCCAAAGAGTTAATGGTGGATCCTTGCCAGTGAAAGTCCTAGTGATTGTCACTCATGCAGTGGAAGATATGTGTCTAGCTACTGCTTTCTTCTGCTCGTCTTCCTATTTGGGACAAGTAGTATACATGCTTTCTATCTAGTCTAGATCAATGTTTCTCAATCTACGCTGGCTGGAGAATTCTGGGAGTTGAAGTCCACACATCTTAAAATTGCCAAGGTTGAGAAACATTGGTCTAGATACAGGCATCTCTTAATTATTATTTAATCTACATACTAGGTTACATATTAAATGAATAATATCTGCATACTATTTATTTTTACAATGTCTTTACTGCTCCCTTAAAATGACCGTTTGGTGGATTACAAGCACTGAATAAAGATTGAATTATCAGGTGTTAGTGCATACAGTAGAACAGGAGTCTTCAAACTTGGCAACTTTAAGACTTGTGGACTTCAACTCCCAGAAGTTGAAGTCATGGCTGGCTGAGGAATTCTGGGAGTTGAAGTCCACAAGTCTTAAAGTTGCCAAGTTTGAAGACCCCTGCAGTAGAAAGTCCATATGTCTTCAATATGATCTTTCCAGAGGCAATTTCCTGCCTATTATGAAAATAGAGAGGTACACTAGGTAGCCTGTTCTAGCAGGATGATGTTTACATACTGTGTCCTTATTTCTTGGGTGAATGTTGGTGATTTACTTTAACTGGATCATTTGCTTAATACCACATTTAAGGTAGGTGGCAGGGATGGTGTTTGCCAAAGGTAAGAAACCTATTTATATTCTTACTATACAGCTTTCTATACCATGTAAGCAGATGGCTTGATTCTCTACTAGGATTTCTTCAGAAGAATTCACCTGAAATACAAGTATTTTTTTCAGGGTGAACAAGGAAAACCTGGACCTCCAGGTGATACAGGCATTCAAGGAATCCCCGTAAGTGTTTTCCATATTTTTTTTGCATATTTAAAATGTAAACAAAGTTACATTTCAAAGCTAACTAAAACTGGATGTTTATTAAGCCAGATTTTTTTTTAATTTTAATAATCAAATTGCATGCTTATAGTATATGTATACAGTGGCAAAAGAGAAAGGCAATCTTTCTTAAAAAGTTAATCAGTCTTGCAAATTGCTCAATATAGTTCAAATAATGAAAAAAATTTGTAAATTTCTGGCTGATTACTGTGTTGGGTAGAGCAAATTGTACACTAGGTACTACCTGGGTAAAAGTTGACTGGTTGATGAGGGACAGAAGGCTTTAGGGAAGATCAGTCAACACTTGAGCAGCATGATGTCCTTGTAGAAAGATGTATCAATTGTTCTTGGGTATGTTATACATTACATTCATCTATTCATCAAGACAGCTTTTAATTCAATCCCCAAAGACAGTCTGTGAGAGAAATTGGTGGCATCCTTCATCAATTACCAATTTATTTTGTTGATCATGACAGTAATTTAGTACAAGTCCAAAATGACATTTTTACTAAAAAAAAAACAAACCCCAAAGGAATGAAATAAGGCAGTATCTTAGCACTTTTTAATTTCTATAGTAATTCTTTGATGCAAGTCCAGGCAAAACCAATAGATCAGTGTCACTCTTTTTGCATGTTGACCACGCAACTCCTTTCTGTAAAAACATAAGCTGAAGGCAAGTCAGCCGCCCTGAGTGGGGTGCACCTAATCTTTAGCGACACCCCAGCTGCGCCCATTCACCCACGCCCACCTGGCGCCCTCAGATGGCCACGCCTTCCCAGTCATACCCCCCTGGCTACAGTGAGTCGTCCCATTCCCTTTTGGGCCAGTCCCTTTTCTCAGCCCAACTCAACTTACAGGGTTTTTGTTATGGGTAAAATAATAGGAGAAAGGAGTATTTGGTATGTTCACTGCCTTGGGCTATTTATAAAGTAATAAAGGTGGGATAAAGTTCTAATGAATAAATTAAAAAATGAATAGATCTATATTTTGTAAAATTGAGGACCTCCCCTCCTCCCAAAACTCATTAAGAGCTCTTCTGTGTGCTGTGAAATATCTACCAATGCTGGGTTACTTTGCATTGATGCATATCTGAATAGACACCTTTTTAATAAGTCATTAGGATTGGACATGCCATATATAGGACATATCTATCATTATAATAGGATACATCAATTACCGTGTGCCTGTTTGTTCTGGATTGAAGCATTCATTTTTCTTATGTTCCTGGTGAATTTGAGGACATGAAGCCTCATTAATTAATATTTACAGGGTTTCAAGAAAAATGGTTACAAAGTAAAGCAAACTTTTGACATTTCCATTAAGAAATTTCACTACAATATTTCAAATATTTTCAATATCTGTTTGTTTTTTAGGGCTTAGCTGGCTCTGCTGGAGCAAAAGGTGTTGCTGGCCCAAAGGTAAAGTATCCTAGGAAATTTGGAAATAGTCCATCCTTTTTACAGACGGAACTGTTACAGAAGAAACTGTTTATTCCTTCTCTTGGGAGCCTAAATCCGACAATCCCATTTACAGTGTCCTTTCTAGAGTGCCGAGCAGAAGGTCGAAGGAGAGAAAGTTTATTTAGACAGACAGCTTCATGGCTGAGCAGAGATTTAGATCAAAGTTCCCACAGTCCAAATTCAAAACACCAGCTTCTTTTCAATCTTGACTTTATTAACGGGTCTACTGGGATTACTATTTTTACAAGTTACTATTTTCAAAAACCCTAAAACAGTTATTGACTCTGAATTTTTATTTCCCTTTGACCCCAGTGTTAGAGCAAGTGAAAACTGGAGTGAGATTTTTTTTGGGGGGTGTTCATACTGCATGCTTAAGTTGGTGAATGAAAGAACCATTTACTTTGGATATGGGCAATAGGCTAAACTGCAGTAGAAATGAGCTAAACAGATTGGTTGATACAACATGCTAAGCCTGAGGTGGGCAATTAATTTTCCTAAGGGATCACATGAGAAACTGGGGCTGTTGGGGAGGGAGGGCTGAACCAATATAATCTGATTTGATGTACTCAAAGTCCCTCACCTCAACGCTTCAGGCTGCTCCAGGTGAGGGGTGAGCACAGTGCAGGTGCAGGGAAGGGTTTTCTCTCCTTGCCCTCCCACAGACACCAGCCAACTTGGCTTCTTTTTCTGCCCCCATGGTGCCCTTATTTACATTTGAATTCTTTTTCCCAATTGACCTCACACGGAATGGACAGTGACAGCCAAAGGTGGTCTGGGGGGCATAAAATGCCTAGGTCTGTGCTAAGCCATAAAAGAAAGCCTAACCAAGTTACATGTTCCACAGCCGGGCTACTGAAGAAGTCTCTCCCCCACCCTCCCATTGGTGTTAGGAAACTTAAAATGTCATGCAATGGGAGCTGGGTTGAGAAGAGCTCAGGATTCACAGCAACTAAGGGCTTATCCCAGTAATCTCATGGTTAAGCTCATTTTGACTTTGTAGCAGTTGCCTTGGGATCTGGATCTGGAGGTCAGTACCATCGTCCCTTTGTCATGGTCGGATCATTTCCTAGTCTAGCTATAACTCAGCTGCCCATACCTCACAAGGTTGGACCCATTTGGATGGTCTGCCTCAAGCATCGTATGAATCCCGCTACTTTCTGGTGAGTGCTTAGAGATGTTCCTGATAATCTGAGGAGCAAAATCATAGAATCCTTGGTTCGCTGCTGGCAACAGATGACTTGGCCCTGAGATCATTTCTTGGTGGCCTCTCTCGGCTGAGGAAGCAGTATTCTTGAGGGAGGAGATCAGTGACTTGGTGGTTCTCCTGAACTTGTAGCCCATACTTGAAGAGTAAGTGGAGGCTGTGGTCAGGAGAGCCTCACCTAGCTTTCGCTAGTCTAACTGGAGTGTGAGAAGTTGTTTCAGTAAATCATGCCCTTATGAATACTTGGTCAAACTACTGCAACATCCTGTACGTGGTGCTGCCTTTAAAGACCACTTCAAAATTTCAGTTGATTAAGTTAAAGCAGCAACCCTTACATTAGCTTGTATTCACTGGTCAGATAGCTCTGCATTTCTGTAGGCTTCCAGGTGCAATTTAAGGTATTGGCATTGACCTATAAAGCTTTTACCAAGCTACTTTCGGGACCGTGTTTGCTTGCATGAGTCAGCCTGACCTATTTATTCTTGTCGGAAAGCCCAGCTGGTGGTTCTCCATTTGGAGGTGCTGCTTATCTATGGCAGTGCCAGTACTTTGGAATCATCTCCCATTGGAAGTCAGACTTCATTTGCCATCTGGAAAGGGTGAAGACAGAGCACTTTCAGAAGGCAATAAAGATCTAACAGTCCTTTTCAGATTTGCTCTCTGCATCCTATTTGGGATATTTGCTTTCTATAGTTTATCTTTCTAGATTTTATTGGATTCTGAATATTTTAAATCAGCACAGGAAATATTTTATGACATTTTGTATTATATCATGAACTGTTTTATAATTATTTTTATGTTGGAGCACGCATGGTTAGGATGCTGGGATGGAGGTTAGCAAGCCTGTGTTTGAACCTGAATGCTGCCGTGGGTTTGGTTGAGCTCAGACCCTTTGCTCCAACTCATGTTGGGGACATGACCTCCCAATTGGGTATCCCTTAGGGAACAGTGATGCCACCAGCTAATCCTTTCAACCTGGAAGTGCTTCAATGCTTTCAACACAAATGCTATGCTATTTTTGTTTCATAAAATATTTTATAAAATTAATCAAATTTCAATTCCATGGGAGTCATGGTGGCCAGGGAAAACATGCTGCAGAACCACCTCATTGTCAAGGTGATCAACTGGGCAGGTAGGCAGGCAGGCAGGCAGGCAGGCAGGCAGGCAGGCAGGGAGGAAGGAAGGAAGGAAGGAAGGAAGGAAAGAAGGAAGGAAGGAAGGAAGGAAGGAAGGGATGAGAATGTGAGGGAGGGAGGGGGAAGGAGGGAAGGAGGGAGAAAGGAAGGAAAGAGCATTAGAAAGAGAAAAAGAAGGAAGGAGAGAGGCATGGGAAGAAAGAAAAGGAAGGAAGGAAGGAAGGAAGGAATGTGAGGGAGGGACGAAGTAAGTTTTTGGATGGATTCTTTAAATTAGATCACTTAAGATATTTTTGTTCAAAAATTGTTGCCCTATATATAGTTTTGCCCAGTGAAAGATTACAGGAAGGAAAGTTTTAGTAGTATATAGATATATCATCAATTGTATCTAATATTAGAAAAAGAATGGAGGGCAATTATATTATGACTGTGTAGCTCTTTGGATTTGATATAAAAATAGCATTTTGGAGCACAGAGGTGTGCAACCATTATGCCTTTCTTCAACCTAAAAGCAACTGGGACTTTTTCCAGGATGCGTGGCTGTCTTCTGCAGCTACTAAAGCACCTGCTGGAGTTGGAATCTAGAGACCTGGACAGTCCTCACTGATGTAAAATAAAAGGAAAGCACACCATCAGTTCATTTAAAGGTAGTGAATGCATTACAGAACTGGATTAAAAAGCAAGTTTATGCATTGTTAGTTACAAAAGAAAAAAGACCACTCTGAAAAAAATGGAAGATGGTTCAGAATGGTCTAGAGCCAGGGGTAGGCAACCTTGGCTCTTTTATGACTCGTGGACTTCAACTCCCAGAATTCTAGAAGCTGAAGTCCATGAGTCATAAAAGAGCCAAGGTTGCCTACTCCTGGTCTAGACATAGAAAAATAATTTGCTAAGTTTGCTCTCAATCTCATTGTAGATAAGGTGGAAATGGAACAGAGAATGACTCTGTTACTCGAACGTATCTCATGTGGTCAAATAAGGAAAAAATAGACAGAGATGGAGAAATAAAGACTAGTGGAAAAGATTTTTAAATAAGGCGGGCTGGCTAAGTGCCTTATCCTGCCACTGAAATGGCCCGAGAATGGCTGTTATACTTTAAAGGGGCTAAAATCTTTTTTTCTCCAACAGGGTGATGTTGGTCGTCCTGGGAAACCTGGCTTAATGGGAATTTCGGGCAAACCTGTAAGATCATTTCCACCTCAAGTTTAACCTTTTTTTTAAACCAGAAGTCTTGCATTTTTCTCCCTGAAATATCAATCTTTAAATATATACTGTGTATTGTTCTTGCAATCCCACCAATAGGGAGAACAAGGACCACAAGGAGAACCAGGATCACTGGGACCCAAAGGACCATCAGTAAGTTCACTTGCTTAGCTTTTGGTTTAGACTGAGGCTCTGGATTTTCTGATCCTGGTTGTTAAAAGAAATCACTTTCCGATGAGAAGTAATTTATAAACTGGGAAAATTCTAGAAGTGGTGGATGTACATTCACTCCCTATCCTTGGGATAGTATCTTTGTTTTGATTTACATTTATTTTCTCTGTCTTGCTCTGTTTTTCTCATCCTCGCTCTTGTTAATATGCAGTAGAACCAGTGCTTTTTTTCTTAAAAAAAAAAAAAGGTGCCGGAACTCACACCCGTCATACAACCCGCCTTGCCTACCCTACAAGGTTCCATCCAAGAAAGGTGCCGGAACTCCATTCTGGGCATTCTATGACAAAAAAAGCCCTGAGTAGAACATATTTAAAAAAACAAGTTGCATTAAAACTAAGGCACTGCAGTGAAAATAAAGGTGAACTAATTGTCTGTAAAACTCCAGCAATCGCTGAATTAAAATCCCTGGATGGAAATAAATGTCACTGCCTCACACTTTATGGAATTAGAAGTGATATTCCACAACTGAGGCATGGCCACAGAAAAAGTTCGTTCTCTGGTCCCTGTTTGTTTGCTCTCAGGAAGCAGAGGGAGGAGACTAACTTTGGGCAACCCTTGGGGAAAATCCATCTTTAATTTTTCTGGACCTTGGTGGATGCGACTGAAAAGGGAAATAAACCTTAAATTGTATTCAAAGGGGGAAATAAAATGCAATGTAAGGGACAGAACTCAAGCTGATGATCATGTACTTATTTTTATACCTCTGTAAACTTAAACAAATAGTCAGCATTCTTGTTCTTCCTGAAATAGTAGTAGGAAAGTCATTTGATATGTATATTCTTTTATATGGGATGTCCTTGAAATTTATCCTACATTTACAAAATCCACAGTCTATTTGAAGGCAGGCAATCAAGGAGGCATTGGTGCCCATTTATTTTCTAGTCAATTTCCAAGCTGAGTCTTGTTTGAAAAGTGATTTCACATAATGTTGAGATGCAGCCTCTTTCTTCTGTATTATTGTTCCAATCTAGTGGTGTTAATACACAACCCAAGTTAGAATTAGGCTTTCTTGTTGTGCTTCTCATCTGGTGATGTACAACTCACTAGTAACTTTCTTGCAAATGCTACTAGGCTGACTAATACACAAACACATTTTTTTTGGTTATGGGTCTTGTTTTTCCCATCTCCCTCAAGCAAAGACTATTTTATACTTCACAGAAAGAAAACCAGGAAAGCTATCTCACAAGGCTTGTCCAGAGTTTGCCTTCGAAAGTAGTTATCCAGATAATTTGGAATTTTGGCAATCACATTGTACATAATCTGGAAGGCTACAAGGTCATCAACCTTTTCAAAATGAATTTAAAAGCCAAGTTATATTCAATAAATTGAAGTTCAGAATTTGACTCCCACATTCTAGAACAGTTCCCAGAAGCTAGGAGTTCTCCAAAAGGTTTTAATTTAAGAAAAGGAGGAAAATATGAAATACATATATGCTTGGATAGTAACTATATTAATTATGATTAATTTTAATTAAATGCAAATGAAATCCAATCAATTATAGTTTTTATTCTGGCCCTGTTTTGTTTTTTTACTTTTCAATGCATAGCTTCCAGTTTGCAGTTCAAAGGCTAAGCATGATCCTTTGACTAGAAATACTTACATATACTATGCATTAGGCATAGATAAATCTAATCCTTTTAATTTGTACTTGTAATATACATGAAAAGCCAGTGAAATTGCAAATAATCATTGTAGGAGGGCAGCCATGTTAGTTTATAGCAACCCCAAATCAAAAGGACTTTGATAACCTTTTCAGATTAACACATTATATTAAAAGGGATAAGCTTTTGTGAGTTACAGCTCATGTCATTGCTGTATCTAATGAAGCAATTTACAGCTCATGTCTTTTAATAATATTTCATGATAGGAAAAGGTGCTATCAGACTCTTTCTGATTTTTGCCTAATAGTCGCTCCCCAAAAGTAGTTTGAAGAAGCAGGATAGGAAGAGTATCTATGCCTTTGAAATTTGGTTTTGGAGAAGACTCCTGAGAATACCATGGACAGCCAAGAATATAAAGCAATGTATCATTGAACAGGTCAACTCTAAGTTCTCATTCGAAGCACAAATAACCAGGCTCAAATTATTTGTCCATGGACACATTATGAAATCTAGCTCTCTGGAGAAGGCTCTAATCCTGGGAAAGTGGAAGGAAAGAGAAGAAGAAGATGACCAACCACAAGATGGATGGACTCAGTTACAGGCAATGAGTATACTAGGGGACCTTGATGGGAGACCTGAAGGAACAGGTTAGGGATAGATCTTCTTGGAGAAAGCCTACCTGTATTGTCACTTGGAGTTGAAAATGACTTGGCTTTTCACATAAACAATCAACCAATCAACCAATCAATCAATTGCAAGTAGCTATCTTGCAAATATTTTCCTATATAGTGCATCATGACTCTTGCAGGGACAAATTCTCTGGGCCTCCAGAAGAAGCTGCCAAATAGGCATCTATGGATTATTATTATTTTTTGCAAATGGTATTCCTCAAGCAGAGAATCATTTCAAATGCGATAGCAGAATCCTGCACTACTTTCTCCAAATTGCATGCCTTTTCAGCAATTAATCATGTACAACAATGGCCCCCAACCTTTTGGGCACCAAGGACTGGCTCCATGGAGAAAAGTTTTTCCGCGGACAGGAGGGGGCGTGGTTTTGCATGCTTCCTGCATCCTGTAGAAGGGGCTTCACTTGTTTCCGTGGCCTGGTTTCTGGCACCCCTGGTGTATAACAGTCTCAAGAAGCTAGTGTGACTTTACATATATCTCTGTGCATTGCTATTAAACCATTTCTTGGAAGAGTTGCAATATGAGTTTTTTAAAAAGAATGTATGCATTTATTAGCTATCTTTCTTATTTAATTAACTATCTCTATTATTTTTATCCTATAATTGAATTCTGGGGGGGGGGTTTGCAATATCTTTCTTTTTCCCTATTATGCTTCTTTGGGCAATTAGAAGTCTTTAAATTGCTTGATTTTACTGAAATGTTTACTATTCATCTTCAAAAGTGAGCAATTTTACTTCAGGAAATGTAGCTATTTCTACTTTAACCATATTTTTGTTTCCTAAAAGGGTAGCAGAGGTGAGCCAGGTCCTGCCGGTCCTCCAGGGTCACCAGGTAAAATGGTAAGCAGGCAGTGTCGACTTTCATCACATGAGTTTGCTTGGTCAAGGGTTTGTGGTAACCAGGTCATTTCTTCAGGAAAGGAAAAGATGAAATGTGAATAGGGACCATTGTCAGCTTCATTCGTTTCAGCTCGTGGCTCAATTGCCCCATTCTTTAAATTTCCTAAAAAATCTACTTTTTTTTACTAACTTTTTTTTAACTAACATTTTTATGTGTTAGTATCAGAAGCTCCTTCCCTCCTTGCAGAGCCAAGTTAGATTTTAATATTCATATACAGGAATGCTGAAAGGCTACTTTTTTTTTTTTTGCTAGTAGTTACCCGGCATGAATACCTTCTTTGAAACTATTCGGATTTCATTTGCGTGGTTTCTGCTGGGAGGCCAGTTTCAATATTCAGGCTCTGAAAGAATTCTCTGTTAGAAGGGAATGTGCCATAGGCTTGGGTGGGTTGTAGCATTTTCCCAAACCCATAAAGACCCCAATTGTTTTAGCAGATTGATAAAATCAAGAAGGTGCTGTCTCCTAAAGCAGCAAATCACAACAAAGCCTGTATTCATTTATTTAAAACATTTATATAGCCATGCATCTTCTAGCCAGCTCCAGAATTCAACCCACCCTACTGTTTTGAATGAGATGCACAGCCAGCTGTAAGAAAGGTCTAATCCAAAAAAACAGCGGTCTATCTCAACTCTCCCTTTCTTCTGTGTAAAAGTGCTCTAAAGACCCTGCCATCTCTGATTGCTTTCACAGGGTGCAGAAGGAGACACTGGACTGCCAGGTTTACCTGGGCCCCCGGGACTGCCAGGTGCTAAAGGCCATAGGGTAAGCAGATGCAAATCAGAAGATGCTTCTCACTTGACTTTGGTCCACATCTTTTCACACAACAGGAGCCTCCCATCTTTTTGCCTTGTGCCACGTTTAAATCCACTGAAAGGAGAAAAATGGAAGATTATGAAATTATCGTACCACGTTTTCTTTCCAGTGTTCTTTGAGAGTTATTGTACTGTATAATTAAAAGATTTTTCCCCCTTTAATTCCCCCCCTCTATTTCTCCTTTGCTCAATATTGACAGAACAATTCATCTTGCTCTTAGCGCAAGAGTCCGTAGTGTAAACCTTTCAACAAGAGAAATAAGCCGAAATATAGCATTTGTTTGTTCTCACTCTGTGTCCTTCCTAAAGTATTGGCTGCTTGGTTTGGCACCTGAGCCAAATTTTCTTCAAGTCCATTCCGTCCTCTTCTGCAATAATTTCAAACCACTGTTAATCCTTTGTCCCCACCTTGCAATTCTTTGTTTCCTGTACTCTGTCTGACTAGAACCTCTATTGTTGCAAAAGTTTTTCAGATAATTGTTTTGTGGAATTTGCCTCCTGTTTCTTTCCAGGCTTCCAGAGGTGATCTTTCTGTTTCTGAAGTGTGTTACTCAGTAGCATCTGCAGAGGGGCTGTGGGCAAATCAAGAGTACTCCAAGTGACGTTGCAGCACTATGGGGGATGCCCCGCCCATTTTCTATGTGTGCTGTGACATCACACACATGCCCCGAAGACAGTGCTGTAATGCTGCAATGCTACTTCCACTGTTCTGAGGAAAGCAGTGCGACTGATAGGTGCTGATAGCAGAGCTTAGGAGAATAGAGTCCCGTCCTTCTATTTGCAACCCAACCTAATTTCAGATGATCGCCTTCATGTTTTCAATGCCTAATTATTGACTCAGCTATTTTATTAAAAAAAATGCTTTGTTTTTTGACCTGATAGCCAAAATGATAACATTCAGAAAGACAAAGCCAGTTGGATGGACCTTGGGCCATTCATTCTCTCTCAGCGTTAGAAAGAAGGCATAGGCAACCCACTTCTGAAATTTTACCCCCAAACTGCAGGAATTTGTCCAAGCAGTCACCAGGAGTCAAGACTTATTTGAAGCCCTCCCCCCCTTCCCCTCCCCTCCAAAAAACAGCTATTACATTGGCAGAAGAAATCTGCTTTGGAAGGATTTGTACATGTAGGGATATGGATAATAGTTTGCGTTTGCCATTTGCTAGCACTAGCTAGGTCTTTCCATAGCAACAGTGGTTTTTGCAGTACACATGATCTGTTTTTTTTTACTATATTTTGTCTACCATTTTTCCTATTGATATTTCCCCCCTGATGCAAATACTAATTGGGATCACTTATGCCAGGGGGTAGGCAACCTTGGCTCTTTTATGACTCGTGGACTTCAACTCCCAGAATTCTTGAGCCAGCTATGCTGGCTCAGGAATTCTGGGAGTTGAAGTCCACGAGTCATAAAAGAGCCAAGGTTGTCTACCCCTGACTTATGCAAACTGTTATACTGGTACACCCTAGGACTGAACCATTCATTTAAAGTTCTTTGGGGAACTTGATTTGTTTTATTTTTTTTCTTAATCTAATCTTAGCACACTGGTTATTTCTTCTTTCCAAATACAGGTCAGTGCAGGTGGAGAACTGTAGGCAAGGAGTCACAGGATGCAGGGTGATGAGGCACAAATTGCCTCCACTTTGTCTGAAACATGTCTTCTCCAAGCCTATTTCAAATATATTTTCTTAACTTCCAGGGATATCTGCAGTGATATATTTGCCACTCCAATCCCTGATCACAATAAAAGAACTCCAGCAGCCAGCCATGCTGTTACAATTCCAGACATGCAATTTAAGCAGGATATAGTTTACTGCCTTATGGCTTAACTTTCAGGGCACCAGTTGTATGGATCTACTTTATATGGCTAGCCTTGATCTTTGAGTAGAGCAGTTCATCCACAGTGACAACCACAGGTTGCCGTTTGTAAGCCAACATTTGTGGTTGCACATGTGCCTGATTTTGGTGATGATTTTTAAGAACCTGTTAAAGGATTCCATTTTTGTCCCATCTTTGTAGCCTTTGGGGATATGGAAGTTTAACATAAAATCAATATACATTTGCCATATACATTTTATCGGATGTTGGTTATGTTAGGGTTCAAATTTCATTCGCCACTTGTCTAGGTTCTCCACCTATTGATACAAGCTTTAATCTATTTGGGCCAGTCATCTATTTCAAGACCATTATACCCTCACAGGTATTTTATGTGAGGATGAGAAGCTACTTATTCATCTTTGTCAGAAATACTCGTGCATGTTCTCTAATATACTACAAAACCAGATTGAATGTATGGGAAATGAGCTATTGGCTAGGTCAGGTCCAAATCATTGGAGAGTAACCAACAATCACCCACAACAGATGCCTGTACAGTTGCCACAATCCAGTCTCTCCAATATTTTGGTTTCGCAGTGTCAGTATAGTCTATAATGTTTACATACATGTTCTTGCAATGTGCTGGTTCTTCCAGCTTTAATGGTGCTTTATATAAAAAGAGTGCCACTATTGCTTTTTTTTCTTCAATAAATAGCGAGGTACACAATCTCCTGGAAACCTTAGCTAATAGTAAGCACTGACTATTTTTATTTTTGATTGCTTTCCTTATTCATTAGTGCCCTTTATTTAGGCCTTACTGCTGTTCAGCAAGTATTGCTATCTATTAAAGCTAAGAGAGGCAACAGGTATGCACGAAACCATTATTTCATATGTCTCTAATATAAAAGACTGCAGATTAGTTTGTCAAAACAAAGACGACTGGGGAGATGGCAAAGAGCAGAGTAGATTCGCTCCCATCCATCCTCTTAGCTTCAGAGCTAAGCAAATTTAGAAGAGTAGTTTTATTCAAAATTCTATTTTAAATTTCATTTTGTTGTTTGGTTTAATATTAGGCTCTAAGTGTTATTAGTATGAAAAGTTCTTGTTTTTACAAACAAAATAAAAAAAAATTATAATGGAAACTCTCCCCTATCTGTTTTGTAGAACTAATTGTTCCACTGTTGCCAAGCTTGTCTAAGAAAAGGCAGGCAAACATTTAAAGAAAAAAACTTGACTTAGCGTGAAGCGAGAATAGATAAGAACTTCATGTCTTATCTGCATCTAATGTCTGCTATGCAATTGTTAAAGCTGAGCCTTGGAAGATGAAAAACATTTCTCCTAAACAAAATTCAATATATTCTGCAAACTGATTTAGTTTAAGTAGTTTAAGTAAGTGAACCAAGCAACCCAGTGAAGATCAGTGGGATAGGCATAGACATAAATGAATGTAGGTAACAAAGTACCTAATAAAAATGGAGAAAAGATCAGTTTTGACACGAAATTAAAAGAGAAAATGGTGAATGAGAAGGAAAAAGCTTAACTGAAAAAATATAGAGACATTTATACAGGATTATTTAAAAAAAAACCAAAAAACTTTAAACGCGCCCTAGATAGAAAACAAAATTTAGTTGCAGCATAACTGATTACAGTGCTGCTATCATGATTATCACCCCAGACCAGTGGTGGGATTCAGATATGTGAACAACCGGTTCTCTGTGTGGATGCCGCTTCTGGAAGTCCATTCTGGGCCTGGGCAACAAAAAATTAGCTACAGTGCTGAAGTGGTACAAACCGGCTGAATCCCACCACTGCCCCAGACCATTGATTCTTTGCAAATGCAGTCATTTCAAACTGCATGGCATTCCTGGAGAGAATTTTCCCTATACAGTGATTGAAACGGGCAGTTCCAGATGCCTGAATGAACTCACCTTTGGAGGTGCCTCAACCTTTGAACTGAATGGGGACCTTGCTTTCAGGAGAGTTTTCATTCCAGTGGGCATGACAGTGTAAACACGTGGGTGTGGATTACGATGATAAAATGCTAAGTATTTATAGAGCATGCTTTTGTGTTTTAATGTTGAATTAACATTCCATTCATGTTTTTGGTGACTTGGTAGCAGAGCGCTCTAATAGTCAAATCATACATTTTCATTTTCTAAATACAGACCTGACTCACTGTTTAATTATTAGGCCACATCTGAATGACTTTGTATTTTTTTATTTTTATTTAGGGTTCAGCTGGTGGGCGAGGGCCGAAAGGAGCACAAGTGAGTATATAAACTTGCACGGTCCATTTATTATCCAACCTTGCCAAAAACTCTGGAAAGTATATGATGCCTGTTTACAATCTAGGCTTGTCTCTCTTTTTCTATCACAGGGACCTGTTGGGGGAGAAGGAGAGTCTGGACAAAGAGGCGATCTTGTAAGACTCAATGTTCATTCTTTTCAATAGGAAATATTCAGGCTTAAAACACACAAAAAAACTATTGTGTCCTTTAGTAAAGGAAATTGTTATTGCAAACACTGCATATTTCATAAAGGAACCCTTTAGTAATGGAGCAAAATGTTAGGAAGGGATTTGCAATTCATAGATGCAGTAAAGTTACAAAGCTGCTTGCTTCCACATTTATTATTTATTCAATTAATATGGTTGTGTAATCGCAAACGACTAGATACAGCCTCCAAAAAGAATCATGATAAATAACAGACACAAATGCCATTTGACTAGGACTAGGTTATGGTAGTCTTCGCAAAGAGAACAAGGCCAGTAACCTTCTCCAAATCAAGAAATGTGAGCTGGGTTCTTGGTTCTTCTTGCTCTGTGACAAACTCTTTGCTGAACTTGGTGACAGTCTGAGAACAACCATCATCAACACATCTCTTCCCTACCCAGCAGTGCATGGCTGATTTGTTCCACAAAGCAGCACCTCATTTACGTGAGTTGGTTAGCTGGAAACCTCCCCCCTCCCCCAAGTGGGAGCTTGAAAAGAAGTTTCCCTCTTCATTTAAAGATAAATGCATGAATCAGTTTAGCAGCCCTCAAGGCCAAGGTAATCTTCATTGCTTTATTCTCAGGTGCTATTTCCATATTTCTTTTATAAGACTTCCTGCCAAGTATGATCTTTCCTGAACTT